TTGTTTGTCGGTTTTCTTGTTGTTGTTTCTGTTGCGGTTGTTGATGTTGATGTTGTTGTCGTTGCTTTGGCTGTTGCTGTTGCTGTTGTTCTTCTTGTTGTTGTTGTTGCTGTTGTTGTCGTTGTCGTTGTTGCTGTTGTTGTTGTTGCTGATGTTGTTGGTGTTGGTGGTGGTGGTGTTGTTGTTGCTGTTGTTGTTGCTGCTGTTGTTGTTGTTTTTGTTGTTGTTGTTGCTGTTGTTGTTGTTGTGGTTGGCTGCTGTTGTTGTCGTTGTTGTTGTTGTTGCTTGTTGTTGTTGTTGTTGTTGTTGCTGTTGTTGTTGTTGCTGCTGCTGGCGTTGCTGTTGTTGCTGTTTTTTGCTGCACTTGCTGCTTTTGCTGTTGCTGTTGCTGTTGCTATCGCCGCTGTTGTTGTTCTTGTTGTTTTTCTTGTTCTTGTCTGTGTTCTTGTTATTCTTCTTGTTTTTGTTATTGTTCTAGGTATTGTTCTTGTTATTGTTCTTGTTCTTGCTCTTGTTCTTGTTGGTTCTGTTGTTTTTGTTGTTGTCGTTGCTGCCAATATTGGTGTTGGTGGTGGTGTTGGTAGTGGTGATGGTGGTAGTGGTTCTGGTGGTGGTGATTCGTATGATAGCTATGGCGTCTTGGCAGCTTGTTGTTCTCCATTTGTTTCTTGTTTGTTGTTTCTGGGTTGTTGACTTTTCAATGTTTGTTGTTTGTTGTTTTGTTCGTTGTTGGTTGTTTCTTGCTGTTTGTTTTGTGTTGTTGCTGTTGTCCTTTTCAGTCGTATGTCGTCGTAGTTGTTGACGACGACGTCGTCGTTGTCGACGTCATCGTCGTCGTCCTCGTCCTCGTCCTCGTCCTCGTCGCCGTCGTCGCTGTCGTTGTTGTTTATTGTCGATTTTTCATCGTCGTTGTAACTGTCGTCGTCGCCGCTGTCGGCGTCGTGGTCGTGGTCATGGTCGTCGTCGTCGTCGTCGTCGTCGTTGTCGTCGTCGTCGTTGTCGTCAACCGCGTCGTGGTCGTCGTTGTCGTTGTCGTTGTCGTCGTCGTCGTCGTCGTCGTCGTCGTCGTTTTTTGTTGTCGCCGTTTTATCGTCGTTGTAAGTGTCGTCGTCACCGCCGCCGCTGCCGTCGTGGTCGTGGTCGTGGCCGTCGTCGTTGTCGTCGTCGTTGTTGTTGTGGTCATTGTTGTTTTCGTTGTCATTGTTGTGTTTCCTTTTTTCAAGCCTGGTCATTTTGAGCAGTGCCTTCCATAGGATCTCTGGCATCTCTGGCTAATCGCACAATGTAGGTACCTTACCTTCGACCCAGAGGCCAGTGTCGAGTTTGGAGGTTTCTATGAGCACATTTATGATGAGGAATTACCTGACCGACAACGTGTACCTGCGAACGCAAGACACTTGAGTAAGGTAGAGTTGCGAGATTGCGTGGACGATGCGATTGAACGTGCCAGGGAGAATCCCAATGTTGCCCTTAGCCAATGGTTTTGTGACAAGGGGACGATCAGAGGAACACCTCAGTTGATTTTGCCCGTGTCATTCAATCCGCCGAGCCTGAACGTGGATGCCGGGCTTGTTTTGGACATCTCCACTGGAGAAGATTCAGATGATTCTTCCAGTGCGGAGCAACTTCGAGTCATCTATCATGCCAAGACCATCCTGTTTCTGGATATGGTTTTCTCCAATGTCTTTGTCCTGCAGCCTCGGGGGGGGCATTGGCTGCATGCCGGCCATGAGCAGGTGAGCAGTTACCAAAGACGCATATTACAAGGTTGTTAAACTGGAGTCAGACAGGGATATGTGAAGCAAGATATGAAGCCTACCCAGTAAAGATAACAGGACACTTATTTTGGGAAGTGTTCAGGTGAGGAATGCGGAATGGATGCAGCATGAGGCGGTGGATCCGGATGTTGAGGAGGTGAAGGAACTCTACGAGGAGAGTGACACCGACTGAGAAGGCCCCCGTTGGGCGTGTAGCTGGACTCGCTTGGCTTGGTGAACACGTTTCTGTACAGCCCTAGCCCCCGGGCACCGATTTTTAGCCCCCCTCCCCTGCAGGCGTGTAGCTTGCAGGGGCGGTGCAGGGACCCCACTGCCTTTGAGCGCTTGGGTGCTGACTTTCAAGCGTGCGGCTTGACGGAGTTTCAGCATCAAGGTGTGTGCCGAATGTGTACTGAATGTGTACTGAGTGTGTACTGAGCAGATTCAAAGTAAAGATGCCCTGAAGGTCATCCCAAGCATTGGACGTTCGCCCGCTGAATTTTGAGCAATTGGACAGGACCAACCCTGGCGGCCAAAGCGGCCGCCGGGTAGGCAAGGTTGCTCAGTGCCTTGAGAGCAGGTTACTCCGCGCAGAGGATTCATTCTGGGAATGCTAGCCTTGCGCAAATCCACAAGTATCCTGCTTGCCAAGGGCCATACCAACTCCCGAAATGTGAGCCGCGCAGAAAGGGCGACCAGATTGAGCTCCTGTGTGGAACGCAGCGCATTCGTGGACCCCTTCAACTAGTTGCGTTGCAGGCTTTCGAGTTGTTGTTTGCCCGGAACGTGCGCCTAGGCGTTTGAGTGGTCAGACCGTGACCGGTGAAGGCCTTCGCCAAGGCCGGGCCCAGATCAAAATTTATCGCCTCCGGCTTGCCGCCGACATAGAAAGGCGGCCTGAGTTTGCACATGTTTGCACAGTCATTTTTCTAAATGAGGTTCCTTCAAAATATGCGCGCAGGCAACATGTACGTAAGGGATGGGACATCAACTTAGGCAGGCTGAACACCACGAAAAACGACAGGGGGCTGACTAAAAGAACGATAACGATGTCTCGACCCGTGCGATCTTATGCAAATATGTCCTGCTGTGTACGTAGTAGGAATTGCGATTTGCAGCCTGCACTGTGGCTCCAGATGGCTTGGAAGCTTGAAGAAAGGATCAAGCTCACTGATGGGAAGCTGCTTTGGAAGGAAGTAGTGATGGAGTATTTGTAGGGTTGCTGCTCATCCACGCCGGCGGTCAGGATGGCGCAGGAGTGCATGGCAGCGTTCATGTTGGTTTTTGTGGGAGCAAGTAGCGGAGAAGTGCCTATAGGGTTTTTGCTGGCCAGTGCGAAATGCAAACCAGAGGCTGCAGGCGTTGCATGTCCTTGAGAATGGAAGATGTTGGACGGGCCCTGCAGCGTAAAAAGCGCGGCCCTGGGGTAGTGTGCCACAGGCTCCCATCATGTTGTTGCATGCGGAGGCAGAATTCCAGTCTCAGAGGGCACCCCCAACAATAACCCAAGCAATAACGAAGCGCTAACGGAAATAGCTATTTGAGTGCCCGGTGAAACCGGTTGCCCTGTTGGTGGCTCGAAGCACACTGCAAGGCTAGAGTTGGAGTAGCATGTGCCGCAACGGCGCGCAGTGCGAAGGATACGGCCGATTTGGCAGCTTTCGAAAGAGATATTGCAAGACCCTTTGACAGGAGGGGCCCTTCTGGGAGGCACCAGAGCACGGCTAGCACAAATTGAGAGAAGGCGGCGTCGACAGCGGCAGCAACAAGCTGCCGGGGCTGTTTCCCCCAGGATAGCAACAGCAGCGCCAGTGGCAGTAGCGGCGCTGTTTTAACATGTGTCAAAAGTTACTGAGCTGCTGACCCTTGCTTGCGCGCATGCCCATATCGCAATAGAAACCTCTTATGAAGAAAGCAGCCTTGTCGCTCTGAGTGCTTCGGACAGTGGACAACTGGTTGGAAAGCCCATTGCCAGCGAAGACTTTCTTGTTGTGGACTCCCTTGCCAGAACCTTCTTGGGTTGCCTGCCCAGTGGACACCCTGAAAAAGATAGGGGACTGATTCACCGCCTGTCGCTGCTGTTCGTTGTTTTCAGGGATAAGGCTCAAAAGGATAGACCAAATGCAAATGCGTCGGGGCTGCTGTGCCCATTCCCAGTAAAGAGTGAAGAAGGGTGTAGTGAAGCCTCGGAAAGCCAAGGTGAGAGACTGACAGGAGATTCAGGGCTCACAGGGGGGTGCGAGGACAAAAACGAGCGGGAAAAAGACAGTGGGCAAAGTATTTCAAAGCCCGAACAAGATGAAGGTGTTGAAGGTCGGAAAGCCGCATGTGGGGTCGTTACTGCTCCTGGGTTACCAGGCTCACCTTGTGAGCCTCCACAGGCAGGGCGCTTAGCCTTGCCAACAGGAAAGATCTGGAGACGTAACGGCGCGCACACACGCCCAGTCAGTTGCTGTGTAGCATTCAGCTAGATCGGGGCGCGCAGATGTGTATTGAGTGTCACAAGCCATGATGAGGTGTTGCTTCAGACCCCTGTCTCGGCTTCAGCGACATTGACTTCAGGCGTGGTTTGCGCATGGTGCGTTTCGTCGATTTGCTGTGCTCTTGCCACTGTCAGGTTGCAATCATACCATGTTGTTTTAGGTATGCGCGGGCACTTCAGTCCTTGCGCAGGCTAGGATGGAATGCGACGTATCAAAGGAGCATCAGCGGAGACGACTGCAAAAAAACCAACAGGCGGCTAGGCCATGGTCTTGGAGCTCTAGGGCAAAAGCTTGAGATGCGCAGGGATGTCAGACATGTGTCGAGCGGCCTGTGATGCTGATTCGCGCTCTCCATGCTTGCCAACTGCATCGCAACGCAGTAGCTACGTTGGGCATGAGATTCACGCGTTCCATTCGTCGTGTTTGATGGCTGCATTTGCGAGGCTGTTTGTTGACCCGTCCACGCCCCCTCGCCATGTTCGGCTACCCCCTTGCCTTGGGAGGACTGCCAGTGATCGTCCGAGAGGACAGGTCTGGGCCGCCCCGCGTGTCCACAGTGAGTGTCGGCGGCATTTGCCTGCCATCTTGCAGGAGCACGTTCTTGGGGTCGCTGGCCGCGCCCTTCCCCGGTGCCGCCCACCCGCTTCTGGACCTGATGAGAGACTTCCCACGAGACTCCCCACGAGACCACTCTTTGAATCTGGAGCTCTACCACGAGACCAGTGAGTAGGCGGCTGAGAGGATTTTGAGCTCGCAGCGCATGCTCCGGGGCCAAGGCGGTCTGGCTGGCGGGGGCATCTACTTCGCAGAGAGCCCGGCTGAGGCCCGCAGGAAGGCAAATCAGCGTGGGGCGATGCTGAAGGCCACTGTGCGTGTGGGTCGCATGAAGGTGGTTCAGCGCCAAGGGAGCACCACCTTCACACAGCTCGTGTCCGAGGGCTACGACTCCGTGAAGATTCTTGGTCGTGACTCTGGCACCGAGTATGTCGTGTACAACTGCGCCCAGGTCACCAACATCCGCCGAGTTTAAGCCCGGCGCATGTACAGCCCTAGCCCCGGGCACCGATTTTAGCCCTCCTCCCCTGCAGGCGTGTAGCTTGCAGCGGCTGAGCGCTTGGGTGCTGACTTTCAAGCGTGCGGCTTGACGGAGTTTCAGCATCAAGGTGTGTACTGAATGTGTACTGAATGTGTACTGAGTGTGTACTGAGCAGATTCAAAGTAAAGATGCCCTGAAGGTCATCCCAAGCATTGGGCGTTCGCCCGCTGAATTTTGAGCAATTGGACAGGACCAACCCTGGCGGCCAACGCGGCCGCCGGGTAGGCAAGGTTGCTCAGTGCCTTGAGAGCAGGTTACTCCGCGCAGAGGATTCATTCTGGGAATGCTAGCCTTGCGCAAATCCACAAGTATCCTGCTTGCCAAGGGCCATACCAACTCCCGAAATGTGAGCCGCGCAGAAAGGGCGACCAGATTGAGCTCCTGTGTGGAACGCAGCGCATTCGTGCACCCCTTCAACTAGTTGCGTTGCAGGCTTTCGAGTTGTTGTTTGCCCGGAACATGCGCCTAGGCGTTTGAGTGGTCAGACCGTGACCGGTGAAGGCCTTCGCCAGGGAGCAAAGGCCGGGCATAGATCAACTTTGGCCAGCATACACGTACTTGTTGAAGTCGCCACAGCTTTTATGTTGGAGTTGGTGTGCCATGCGGATTCCAACTTTTTGTGGGTGCATGGATGGATTGCGTTCCATGCGGGGTGGCTATTCGCCCAGAAAGTGGCGGTGACCTCCGCGGCTGCGTGTAGGACGTATGTGTGTGCGAACCGCTCAACAATGTCGTAAGCGACCGGTGTCAATGTGCAGAATCATGGGTAGTGTTTTCCCTGCAGAATTGGCTTTCAGGATCCAGAAGCCGTTCTGTCTTTAGATGCTTTGGGAGGCAGTCCTTTCTTGATGGTCCCTGCAAAGGAAAAGCTGTCATCCGTATTCCCTGGGCCATCAAAATTCATCCCTATTCCAGGTTTGTGGGTGGGAGAGTACCCTGGGCAATCAACATGTGAGGACAAATATTTGCTGCATAAGGTCTTTGGGAAGGCATTGAAGTGTCCACCAACTGATGAAAGTAAACCCAGCGACAGACAATGGAACGCCAACCGGGACACTGCCACTTCAACCGGCACACTGACAGAACACTGGAACACTGACCGCGACTTGAATACCACGTGGTCACCACAAGGACACCACAGTGACACCGCATGCAAACCACCAGGATGCCACCAAGTAATATCACTGAGAAAGTGATCAAACATAACGCCGGGGCACCACTGATACCGGGATTGAAATGGGACGCAACCACCAGGCTACCATTAGCAGCAAACCACAACCAGGTCACCTTCGGAAGATAACAACGACACCACCGCGACACAGGTTGGCCACTACTGGATACCACCACCAGGACACCACCACCGGGGCACTGGCACCGGGTCGCCGCAGGGACGCAACACCGGAACCCCACCAGGACACCGCCTGAAAAACAATCCCCCGCGCCACAGAGACATAACACACCAACGCACCATTTGGACACCGCAACACCACTAGGACGCAGCGGAACACCACCGGCCAACAACACCTACAGTACCACCGGAAAACTCACCGGGGCAGCGGGAGACTACTGGGACACACCGGGACACCACCGGAGCAAAACACCAGGACACCATCAGGGTACCAACATGCATGACACACCAGGCGCACAACTAAAACACCGCGACGCCACAGAGACACGACATGACACCGGGACTCCGCCGAAAAAGCAACAAGACGCCGCCCGGAGCACACAATATTGGGACACAACTAGGACACCGCCAGAACATAACGGGACATAACGACAACGCACCGGAACACCACCGGAACACCACCGAGCCACCACCTGGACTCCAAGGGGACCACCAGGACACTGCGTCGCCGGAACACCAAAACATCCGTGACAACACCAGCAGGACACCGCCAAAACACGGCATGCCATCTCCGCAACACCACCACAGGGACACCACCTTTGGGAGACCGCTACGAGTATCACCGCCGCCAGGACACCACCATCACCGGGGCAACACCGAACTATGGAACACCACCAGCGGAACAGAACACAACCTGCGGCGCAGCATCACGCCGACACCACCGCACCACCACCAGGTTAGCATCAGGACAACCAGAACACCACCGGGACACCGGCGCCAAGATACCATGGGGACACCACCAGCGCACCGACGAGACAACACCAGGTTACGACTGGCAAAGCACTGGGGCAACACCGGCGCATAACAACGGGACACCGCCAAAACACCACCGGGACGCTCGTTGCAGCAACACAACCAGGCCACCACCAAAACACAGCCGCAACACCACATGCCACCAAGACTACTACTACTACTACTACTACTACTACTACTACCACTACTACTACCACTACTACCAAACCATTGGGACACCAGAGCACCAGTGGGAAACCACTGGCACTGCGACACCCTTCAGAACACCCGCTGAACACCACTAAGACACCATCAACGCACCAACACTGCCAAACACCATCATCCACGGCCGGGACGCCAGCCGAACACTACGCGGACATCGCCTAAACACTTCCGGGACAGCACTAGGAACAAAGGATCAGAACACCGCCGGGACACTACCGGACACCAACACAACACAACCAAGACACCACCGACACCGAGACACCACAGGACACCATGGGGCTAGGACACCAACAAAGAGAGCGGGTCGCCGTGACATTTGAGCTGCGCAGGAGACAACATGTGCGCTTTTTTCACCTAAAGGCTTTTGCGGTGCGTTGTTGCTTCTACACTTAGCTGGCGGGCTTGCGCAAAACTGGCCAAGCAAGGATACAGATCATGAACATGTCAAACAAATTGAGAGTCAGAAGTAGGCATACATGGCAATGCCCCTTTATTGCTTTGAGTGTTGTGCCCAAAATTGTTAGCCTGTTGCAAGCAGACACTACTGAAAAAGATTGTCCTCCCAGAAGCATTCCCTGCTTCTAGCTGGCAGGCTTCTAGCATATGTCTAGCGCATTTCTAGCACATCTACCATATAGTTCTAGCATATGTCCAGCACATGTCTGGTATAGTTGTAGCATATGTTTAGCAAACTTCTGGATGTCTAGCATCTTTCTGATAAAGGTCTAGTGTTTTCTTTGATAGTTCTAGTTTGGAGCATTTCTCTATGTCTTGTATTGTTCTAGCATGTGTCTAGCGTGTGTCTAGTACACTTCCAGTATATGTCTGGAGTATGTCTTCTCTACCTATCTCTACCTGTGTCTATCTAGCTCCATCTATTTCTCCATTTCAGAAATCATCTATCTATCTATCTATCCATCCATCCATCCAGCCATCCATTTTCCCATCCATCTATCTATCTATGTATCTATCTGTCTTTCCATCGATTTATCTATATCTACCCAGATCTATCTATTTATATCTACCTGTATCCATTCATGCATCTATCTATCTATCTATCTAGCTATCTGTCTATTTATCTATCTATCTAGATATCTAGACATCTAGATATCTTTCTATCTATCTGTCTGTCTGTCGAACAATCCATCCATCCATCCATTCATCCATCCATCCATCCATCCATCCACCTTTCTATCTGTATCTATCTTCATTTACCTATATCTATCTACTGTATATCTATATATACCTATCTATATCTATGATGACAAATGTACCTTGTTCCCGAAAGCATTGCGAAGGGTTCTTCCGTGCGGAGCTCTTGGTCAACTTGCGCAGAGTAGCTTGCGCAGAGTCACCAGCATGGAGATACCAGGAGCTCTTGGTCAAGTTCGCAGAGTAGCTTGCGCAGAGTCACCAGCACGGAGATACTTGCGCAGAGTCACCAGCATGGAGATACCAGCATGGAGATACTTGCGCAGAGTCACCAGCATGGAGATACTTGCACAGAGTCACCAGCATGGAGTCACCAGCATAGAGTTACTTGCGCAGAGCAAGTGCATAGAGCTAGGTGCATAGAGCTAAGCTAAGCTAGGTGTAGAGGCTCGGCGTTAGCCGCTGTGTAAGCTAGGTTAAGTAAGTTAGGTTAAGTACTTAACGCGCGGGAAAGAAAGAGAAAGAGCTCGGTATTAAGAATCTCTTTCTTGGCGGGGGGTGGGGATGTTGCCGACGATCGGGAATGCGACCCTCTTCGGGGATCGGCGTGGTCGAGGTGCAAAAACTCGAGGTTTTCAAGTTTTTTGATATGCCCGCGCGACCCTCTGCGGAGATCGGCGTGGTCGCGGTGCAAAAACTTGAGGTTTTTTTTTGCGTTTTTTGCGGTGCCCGCGCGACCCTCTGCGACTCTCTGCGGGGATTGGCGTGGTCGAGGTGCAAAAACTCGAGGTTTTTTACGTTTTTTGATATGCCCGCGCGACCCTCTGCGGGGATCGGCCTGGTCGAGGTGCAAAATATCGAGTTTTTTTGCGTTTTTGACATTCCCGGACGAACCCTCTGCGGAGATCGTGCGTGTCGAAGCGCTCTCGCTGTGGCGCCGTGCGAATTGTTCTTAGTCTCGGCGAACCCTCTGCGGAGATCGTGCGTGTCGAAGCGCTCTCGCTGTGGCGCCGTGCGATTTGGTTGCTCGCGAGATGGCCTTTGGAAGTTGTCTCGTGGTTTGCGCGCCTGCTTTCGCAATCCCGCGGTCGCGGGTTCGATTCCCCCCTGGTCCGCGGCAGCTCCGGCTTGAACATCGCAGCTTTTAAGTACAAACGTAGTACGCGGAGCGTGCTCCCGCAGCTCCGGCTGGAAAATCGCAACTTTTAAGTACAACGTAGTACGCGGAGCACACTCCCGCAGCTCCGCTGGAAAATCGCAACTTTTACGTACAAAAATAGTACGCGAAGTACATTCCCACAGCTCCGGCAGCACTTGCGCAGAGCAACTTGCACAGAGCACTTGCACAAAGCACTTGCGCAGAGCAACTTGCACAGACCAACTTGCACAGAGCACATGCGCAAAGCGCTTGCACGGA